TTCTTTTTTTAAATTTTTTTACAATTTTTTTAAGTAACTTAAAAATTGATTTACATATGAAACTTATCTCTTTGTTGGAAACTTTAGAAAAAATGTATAAAGTGTTTATAAATTAGTTTTAGATGTTTGATATGTATTATTTTTAATTATTAAATGATTTTTTGATTGATTAAAAATTAAAATAATATTAAAATAAGAAAATGTCTTTTTAGGCATATGCCTCGCCTAGCCCATAGCTTGACTTCAGGCATCGCCACACATTACGCCTTTTAGAACACTGGTATTTTCCCATGATTTGAATGAAATGTCGTCGGAATGAGAACTGGAGTTCACGATTGATCCGATTCCCGGTTTCATCCCCATTTCTAAAGCTCCTTATCAAATGGCACCAAGGGAATTACAGGAACCGAAAGCCCAAATAGAGGAATTGTTGGGAAAGGATTCATTCGACCCAGCGTATCACCATGGGGACACCAGTGTTGTTCGTCAAGAAGAAGGATAGGACAATGATGATGTGTATTGACTATTGAGAACTTAATGGAATCATCATTAAGTATCCCATACCTAGAATCAAAGATTTGTTTGACCAATTCTGAAGGGCCAGAATATTTTCAAAGATCAACTTAAGGTTGGGATATCACCAATCGAGGACCAAATCCAGTGAAGTCTCGAAAACGGCCTTTAGAACTCGATATGGTCACTATGAATTTTTAATTATGCCGTTTGGCTTAACGAATGCCACTAAAGTTTTCATGGATTTGATGAATCGTGTTTTCCATAAATACTTAGATCAATTTGTCATTGCATTCATTGATGATATATTGATCTACTCTTAGAGTGAAGAAGAGCACGAAAAACAGTTGGAAATTGTGTTAGGGATCCTGAGACAGGAAAACTTTTTGCAAAATTCAAGAAGGTTAAGTTTTGGTTGGAACGGGTGGTATTTCTTGCACTTGTGGTCACAGCACAAGATATAGAGGTGGACCACAGTAAAGTAGATGCGATATTGAACTAGTCAAAGCTAACCAATGTAAGAGAGATTCGCAGCTTTCTAGGTTTAGCAGGGTATCACAAGAGGTTTATTGAGGGTTCTCCAAAATATCAAGACCATTTAACACAGTTAACTCCCAAGGGTGTAAACTTTGAATGAACAGCGAAATGGGAAGGCAGTTTTGAGGAATTAAAGAAGAGATTAATCAATGAACCAGTGCCAACCATAACAAGAGGATCAGAAGGTTTTGTGATCTATAGTGATGCATCCGGTATTAGACGTGTTTTGATGCAACAAGGCAGAGTAGTTGCTTAAGCATCGAGATAGTTGAAACCTTACGAGAGTAAATCTGTTTTGATTACCCCACGCATAACTTAGAATTCGCCACAGTAGTACAGGCCTTGAAGATTTGGAAGTACTACCTGTATGGAAGTAAATGTCAAATTTATATAGAACATAAGAGCTTCAAGTACATTTTCACTCAAAAGGAGTTAAATATGAGGTAGAGAAGATGGCTAGAATTGGTAAAGAATTACTACTGTGAAATCCATTACCATCTAGGCAAGGCAAACATAGTGGCTGGCACATGGATCAATTCACACAACTATATGTTAATGAAGTGGTGAGATTGCATGGAGTTCCAGTTTCAATCGTATCAGATAGAGACCAATGTTTACATCGAAGTTTTGGAAAAGTCTGTATCGAGTAATGGGAACTAAACTAAAATTTAGTCCAACTTCCCACCCCCAAACAGATGAATAGTCCAAGCGAACCATTCAAACGCTAGAGGATATGAATGCGAAAAGAACTAGAATTTATTGTTGGTGATCGAGTATTTTTGAAAGTCACAATGATGAAAGGTGTCTTATGATTTGGTAAGAAAGGAAAACTTCGACCACCTACATAGAACCTTTTGAGATATTGAAATGGGTTGGGAACGTGGCTTATCAATGGCTTTGCCACCAAGGCATTCTGCAACACATGACATCTTTCATGTAACTACACTCAAGAAATACGTCCCCGATCCAAGTCACATAGTAAAACATAACCTTTAAAAATTCACTTGACTTGTGAAGAAATTCCACTTCACGTTGTAGCTCAAAAGGTACAAAAGCTTCGCAATAATGAAATGTTGCTGGTTAAAGTGTTATGGAAACATCATTCAATCGGAGAGGCAACTTGTGAACGTAAGGATGAAATGCGAGCTAAGTATCCCCAACTGTTTGACAATGATATATAAGGTAATTTTCAAGGACGAAAATTTATTTTAAGGGGGGTATATGATATCCCGAAAATCTCTTAATACTCATTGATAAAAGTTTAGGGACCAAATTGATAACTTTCCATAGTCGAAAGACCCAATGTACTTTTTGAATTTCAAATTTTGGTAAAGAAATGATTATGGAAATTTCATGTTTAGTCAAGAAAAAGATTATGGGATTGCCGTATTTAGATTATCGAAAGTAACTTAATTTCTACTTTGATTAAATGTGACGGCATGATTTGATATAAATATGGCATGTCAATTAACATAATTAATTGGTTAATTATTATAATATAATTAGAGAAACTTTCATCTATTAAAAAGAAGAAACACTATTTATGCATGTGTAATTAGCAATCTCACATTATTATATGGTACAATAGAATATTTAATTTAGCATAATTAAATCGAATGTTTATTTATATGGCAACAAGAATAATTAGTTGAGTGATTGATTATATTTTATATGGAAAAACGTGTGGCATTGATAAAGAAATGAATGTTAGTAACAAAAATAGGTAAAGGGGTCGAACTTTAGAAACCCCCATTTATACCCTCTCACATCACTTACACTCACACACAACTTATGCTATGCTTTATCTTTCTTCGTCTCAACTCATCTTCCACATACACGTTGTCACATTACAAAGTTTAGCACGCACGGTGTCCAATGAATTTTAGAGGGAAAGTCTAACAACGTAAATTCTTCGATTTACCTTTATCTTTTTCCAAACTGTAAGTATAGTAGTACGAAATGTTTTTTCAATATTTGAATTACATAAATTTATGCTATAAATATTATGATACGGAAATCCAAGTTATGATTATGATAAGGGTCCTATTACCTATATGTACAAGTTCAAAGGATCGAAATTTAGTAGCATTACACACTGGAATTATAGCCACGAAATTCAAATTTTAATTTCCGTGTCTCCATATGTATATTATGAATTCCCGTATTTAAATATGAGAAGCAATTCGTTATTACCCATTTACTGAGATTTATGACTTACATGACATGTTAAATATTTTTATAGGTACCTAAAAGGACGGTTTCGAAGTGGTCGAAGGTGGATTGTGCTTGCGTTGGTGAAAAGGAAGAATAAATTATGTAGTTTAAGGTTTTTTAAGGCCCGTTCGGGAGGGCTTNATTGCCAACTTAGGCCCCGTTCGGGAGGGATTAAAAGCCAATTAAAATTGAAAATATGGCCGTTATTGGGTCCCACTCGTCTAATAAAAGTCAACAATAACGGATATATTTTCAATTGTAATCTGATTTTAATCTCTCCCAAACAAGCTTTTAGTAATGTTCATCGTATTTCTCTTTAAACTAATTTTAAATCTTTACATTTTAAGAAAATATTATGTCGTTCTTTTGTTTGTAAAAGTATTATTTACGGTACATGTATAATGATTCCAAAAGTAAAAATTTGGGTTGTTACAACATAAGATCTAGTTTGAAACTAGTGTAATTTAAATGGAAAATTATTAGAAAATCTACTAAATAAAACCTAATTATATTTTCTAAAATAAGTATCCAATTTGAAAGGAAACAACTAAAATACTACAAAATCAATTAAATAAAATCCTAATTACGTTACCAAAAATAAGTATCTAATTTGAAAAGTAAATTTAATAATATCTCTACTAGGATTTCCATCGCCAACACTCAACATATCTGGTGTAATAACCATTCTACAAGACTTGCTTTCTTAACTTGGTAGCATCTTCCGATAACGTAAACTTGTCCTATTTCAGGAATTCATCGAGTCAGCTTTAAGTATATGCATCATATACTCTTCAACTCTTCCTCAACTACTACAAAGCAAACTGAAGTGTATAAAACCACCACCATATAGGACACGACTGCATCTTTACTCTCCACTATCATCATTATTCCAATTATAACTAAACAACACATTATATATAGGATCAAGGATGTAGCTCCGTTGTAATAAAATATAACTACAAGATAAACCCCTAAGAAGATTCTTCTTCAAGTACAGACCATGCTATGCTTCTTCAACTAAACTTCCCTTTTTTCGGCTATCAAATTTACTTTTTAAAGGTACTAGAACGATGATACAGGTTCAAGGAACATTATTTATAGATCTATAATGTTTCATTGTATTGTTAATAAAATATTCAAGCTAATGAGTTCAGATGATAATATTCTTAAGAATTCCCTGCCCTAACAAGAGCAAAAGTATACATGAAAATCTAGTAAATAAATTTTGCTGGAGGAAAGCATAATTGAGAACCAAGCTAAGTAAATCTGACTTCTTAGGAGTCGTTTACCAATTTTTCTTCCTATCCTAAGTTGGGATTTAGAATTCAAATTTAGTAAGAAGTGAGCACTAAAGCTTTCTTATCTAAATAAAAACTAATACTTCTAGCTTATAGAGTTCCATTTCCAAGGTTCTTTCCTGGATTTTCCACAAGCAACCAAGGTATTGAGATGCATAAAAGTAAATTCCTTTTCTACAATGCTTCTTGTCAACAACCTTAGTTTACCTAACCATACATTAGTTGTAGAAATTTATCACACATCTTTCTTCAAATATTTAGCATACAAAATGAAACACAAAAACACGTCAAATTGGTTTATCTACGGGCATTCTCACAACCCACGAAAAAAAATGAAAAATCTAGTCGACTAAGAGTGGCGTTATAAACCTAGTAATAATGAAATAGAGATGGCCAGACTGCAATACTAAGTAGCATATTAATAAGCTATATTCTTGCCTCATCTCCTTCGCGCATCAAAGACCGCACCAGTGTGGGTGCAGTGTAGAATATAGACACCTTGTATTTGTCGACGATGTCCCAACAACGTCCTGAATCAGGATAATTAGGGGCCTGCAGGAAAACAAAAACAAAATAAGTTTCTGGGAAATATAGGTGTATATAGTGCCACTACTAATCATGGATCCTGTCATGCTAAAAAAGCACGGTAGAATTCACTTACAGAACCACAACACGTTCATCATCTCATTTAGAACACAATGGAATCGATTAACTTATCAGAAATGACTAATAAAGGTGCATGGTGGTTGTCTTTTGTATTTGTGATCATAAACCTTTTGAAAAGTCCAAACTGCTGCATACTTGTCATTGATGGGAATTGTTCTCATAAGGATGAATTACACTTTCTTTCTAAAGCCCCAACTGAGGACCCAATTGTATCCTGACTGATTATAACCCTCTGAATTGAGATCTAGGGAGGAGGAATAGAAATCATAAAAAATCTGTTTAGAGGTAATGAAGGATAGTGAGTGCTATTATTGATAAGAAGGTTCTGATTGCTAGACATGGAGATTGAGGTTTTTTAGGTTGAACAATTAGTAAAAGAAGCAAATAGGTTTTTATAAAATAGTTCATAATAACCTGTTCCCCTTGGTTTACTAATTTTTTTCGTACTTAATTTTCTTTATATATTTTACCCAGAATCCAGGATCCCTAGAACATGCACTAACTATATTCCAGACACACTCTTAATGTCTGAGTGATTAAGCACACCAGAAGTATTTGAATAATTACCCCTTCAAAAACCACAACAGTTGCTGCGTTCAGCAGAGGCCCGTAAGTGACATAGCTGTGTCCAGTAATCCATCCACAGTCAGCTGTACACCTGAAGAAAGACGTTATTTGACAGGCCAAACAATAATTATCAGCATTGATCGAGTGCTGAATCATTAACAATAAAAATAATTTTTGGTGTACCAGTAAATATCTGATGGTTTGTAGTCAAATGCATATTTGAATGTTGTGGCCGTATATACCATGTATCCTCCAGTTGTGTGCAAGACACCCTTCAAAATCGATGAAAAAGTAATTTCTTGAAAAAGTTGAAGCATAACAGAAAAGGTAAGACCTTTCATAATTCCAATGACTTCATACCTTGGGCTTTCCAGTGCTTCCACTTGTGTAGAGCAAGAATAATGGATCCTCTGCATCAACCCATTCCACATCACAGGTTGTTGGATATTTAGTAACAACATCCTGGAAGATTGCAGACAAGGAAGACAAACTATCTTGAGTACATATAATGACATCCTTAGGATCAATGACAAAACACAGGATCTGAAACTATAATAAGTAAAAGAGGTTTTGTCCAATAAGTGCAAAATAATCAGCAAAACTAATTGGAAAATTCGAAAAATTTCTACAGGTAAATTTCATGCAACCATCTAACTGATTGAAGAAAAAGTAGCATGGAGAATTATGTAGTGGAGTCATATCTGACACATGTATCAATGCAACTATAATAAAGGTGAAAAATGTCCAATATTTCTTAAATGTGTTTAATATTCAATCAAGACTTTCGAGACACCTTCAGCCCAAATATTTGTGCCCAAAGACCTATAAGGTGAGGCTATCGTCTGCAATTCAATAGAAACAGGCCTAGCACATATCAGTAATGTCTTCACATAAATTTCTGCGATTTCCATATAGTCAAAAAACTCGTCAAGGATGTAAAGGATCTAAATTAAGGAGAAGAATTAAACTGCAAACAAGAAGTATTGCAGTGTGTTACATAAACATTTACGTGGCATGTACAATATTACCATATCAGCAAAATGAAGTCATATGTCAATACCACTTTTGGAACAAGCTATAATTAGAAATACTTTCACAGCTTTATAAGCTTGCTCTAATTTCTAGGTCTATGCTTCCAAGTACAGAAAACTAGGATAATAACAATGCTTTTCTGCCATGTTCTCGTCCAACCTGCCACCATGTATCTCTTCCTTCCCGCCATTTAGTTTTAACCTTCTCCAAGGCAGAGAGATTTTCATAGGTCAAACATACATCTGTCAAAAAATACAACAAATGCAACAGGAAGTTATTTTCCTCAGAAGAGCAATTCATTTACCAAAGATGTGCACATAAAATAGTTTTGATAACAGAAAAATTCCACAAGAAGAAAAGGAATCAAAAACAAAACAAAGCAGTTAGTTTTCTCATTATTTATTCATTTAGGCATTACAAATAACTGGGGATAGTAGAATAAACTGAAAATTTAAAGCACAATATAGCTGGTGAGACATTTTTTCCTCATGCAGAAGCAAGAAGATGAAAAGAAAAGTACAGTTTCCTCACCCTCAGCTCCTCCGCCATGCAGCAATAAAGCTAACCAAGAAACATAATGAATATAAAGAAAAGCAAAATTATTTCTTTGCAACTAATAAATGAATTCCAAATCACATATATATCCCATGTTTAGTTTAGATAAACATCAGAATTTTAGTAGATTTTGATAAAAAGTTTATGGAATGTGTGATTGAAAAGTTGTAGATCCCATGAAATGTGTTGTTAAAATTAATTTTAGACTTTGACTTAAATTTTAATCAAAATTTTTAGCTGAACCAAACAAGGGCATAATGAGACTTTGAAATGTCATTTCTGATAATTGGCTTTCAAAAAGATTTTGCATAAGATAAAAGTAACCATCTCAGACTTCGGAGATTCTACTGACATTTGTAGATTCAGATGTAGTGATAATGTTTCTAGTATAAACAAATTCAATGACCTATATTTCCTAATTCTCTATAAGTTTCCACTGGAAAATACCCCCCACTTTCTCTAAAAAATAAATAAATAAATAAATTGATTGATAAGTTTTGAGACCTGTCATCCCTCTAGATTGACATATTTCAATATAATTCTCATGAAGGCTAGAAGTCTTACTGACCTTGTAATGCAAAATGCAATAACATGAATAAGGAAACATCTAAGAGTTCAGATGGATTTAGTTTTATAACAAATTTTGTTCAGTTTGAAATTTTTGCACTATTTCAAGTTTCAACTTCCTAAGCTGAAAGAATGATGAAAAATGAAACCTTCCAGGTCTATGCAACTAACAACCCATCATTAAGCTATGATGCTCGGACTCTGACACAGGTACGGGTATCGAGTACATATCTAAGTGTCGAATCTTTTATTTTCTAAAATATAGGATAAGGGAATATGGCTAAAATTAGTCCAAATTTCGGACACGGGTACATGGGTACATCTTTCAAACTTCATTTTCTTTTACTCACCTAAAATGCCATTTTAAATAGACAAAAATCAATTGTTCACAAGGAAAGAAATAAGGATTGAATAAGGGGCTAAGATGAATAAAATAGAATTTTGAGATTTAGTTTTCAATTATCGGAATTTAATTACTATATGTTATATAAAATAGAAAACGAGATAGTTGATTGCAATTTGGACTTAATTGAGTATTAAGTAGTACTATATGGAACTCGTTTTCATTTTATGCAAAGAAAACCTAAACCATCGATACATAGAAGGAAAGAAGGAAAAAAAAAGAGATGAAAGAGAAGGGAACTAGCGCCACCGCATTCCTCCACCCTCGCGGAGATGGCGCCAACACTAGGTTTACAGAGAGCAAAAACGAGAGAGAAGAAAACGGAAAGAAAAAAACGGAAAAGAAATGAATGACGAAGTTTTTGGTTGAAATTTGGAAGATCCGACACATATCCCATACGACACAGGTTCTTCATACATTTCAAAGAGTCTGAGCATCAGAGTCTTCAAGGCTATTTTCTCTTATAACAATCACATGTTTATGGTTATATAAACCAACTACTTGAGATATAGTTCTCAATTACTCATTAGTTAAAAAGGACAAGAATTTTCTTCCCCATGACTTGTGATATCACTAGGGAAATAACATGTTTATAAAAGGAAGGAACTTTGCTCGTGCTATGAACTCAGGACTCACCTACGGCAAAGCCATTTTGAGCAGAGTCTGCAAGGGCAGCATCAACTATATCTTTGAGATAGATGATCTTTGATCCTCTTCGAACAGCATTGCAAGTTATTACAACCTTTGGTTTGCAATCCATGATCCTCTGCGCAAGAGATTCAGCAGAGAACCCAGCAAAAACAACCTGAACATAGAGGAAGCATCATATTGTACATTTCAAAGGTTTGTGAAAAAGAATGAAGTAGTGAACTGCAGAAGGAAAAGAGCAGATACTGTAAAAAAGAAATTTGCTATGCAGTACCGAGTGAACAGCACCAATACGAGCACAAGCAAGCATAGCTATTGGCAGCTCCATCAGCATTGGTAGATAAATCACGACAGCATCACCCTTTCTGATGCCAACGTCTTTAAGGTAATTTGCTAGCTGTTAGCATAATCCGTTAAACAAGAGAAAAGTCCAGTTAAAAATAAGATAATCACTCTAAAGGGGCAACAAAATCAATCAAAAAGGAAGGGTAAGACTAACCTGGCAAACTCTCTGCAACAGTTGGTTATAACTCAAATTACCATCAACACCAGGTTCATTTCCTTCCCAAAAAAGAGCAACCTTTTCACCATTTCCCAGCTCAATATTTCTGTCTAGACAGTTGTAGCAGATGTTGGTTATACCACCTTTGAACCACTGTTCTCGTACACACAATTTCAACTCTACCAATTAGCTCAAAAACGAAGGAAAAGGTAGGGCATGAGTTTGAAAAGCAAATGTTATGAAAATAAACATTTACCTCGATCTTGATTCTCCCCTTTCGGATGTCAAGATTTTCCGAGTACACTGGTTGGCCCCATCTCTGTTTCCAGTAGAACTGGGACGCAATGTCTGACCAAAATCCATCAGGGTCCTCGATTGACATTTTATACATATCCAAATACTGCACCATAATTACCAAAATCAATAAACCCAAAACAGATGACCAAATGAATAGGAAAACAAGGTACCGAACAAACCTTTTGGGGAGATGGGACATGGGCCTGTCGAGAAAAGTCGTCGCTGGGGAAAACGAGATCATCTTCCTCAGAAGCTAGCGACTCTCCAAGTATAACAGCATTCAATTCGGGAATCCTGCCGGCCCCAGAAGGCAGAGTGGCCAAAGAATCCACGTGTCGCAGATGATTCGACGTAGTCAAGGCCTTCTTCGAAGGAGGTGAAGAAATGGAACTCTCAAAAGGATCATCCATGGCGAAAAACAAGTATCTTATTCTCGAACCAACAGTATAACCACTGGATTGGAAATAACTCGAACACTGAAATCTGGATGATTTCCGATGAGTCAACGGAGAAAAATGCAAGGATTTCTTCTTGTTGGTATAGGGTTTGACCCAGTTAAACAATTTTGAATTCGAGAAGATCGGTGTCGGTGCCGTTTCTTGCGCGGAATTGTGTATATATAGAGTAGGACTCCTGAGAATATTATAATCATAGCTACAACAAGAGAGGGCCATCTTTTCACAGTTTGTACCTAAATTGGCAAAATATAATTCTTACCTAACCCCAACCTAACCATCTCCATCCCGTCCCCCTCATCCCCCTCCCTATCCCCATGCCACACTCACTGTGAATAGTCGATAAAAAATAAGGTTGTGCTTTGTGTACACAATGCATTACACCCTTCTCACATGGAGGGGGACCCATGCCCCTCACATGGAGGAGGACCCATATAGGCCCCCTCCATGTGAGGGAGTGTAATGATATACATCACAAGATGTACACATAGCATTATTCTAAAAAATAACAATCATACTTAGTGGGGGGAAAAAAAAGAAGGAAAAAACTACACCCTACTTGACAGATCATTGGATTATTTAAAAATAATAATTTTTGCAACCAATCATTTTTTACCAACATTATTTCTATTAACACGGTGGGCACAAAAATATGTACAAATACATAAATACAAAAAAATGAATATAAATGTTTATGTTCCAATCAAATATTAAATTTGTCATTCAACTTATTTCTGAAGTTAAGGACCTTTTTTATCCCTATTTTTAGTGTAAAATGCAATTTGAAATAATAAATTGATGGAGAATGTGTGGTTAAAAAATGAGGAAATATTTTGGATTTGCGTGTAATATTATTTATTGAATAATGTATGGTTAAAAAAAGAGAAATAAAATGTATTTTCAAAAAAAATAGGAATCAAACAAGGGCTAAAAAATATTACTAGGCATTCTCCCCAAATTGTTAAACCTTAACCTAACCTAACATGACTATTTTTTATTTTTTTATGTGAATTTCACGTGGGGTATAACTATTATCCATTAACAACTTTCTCAAAGTGATTACAATGTGGATACTTACTAACATGGATTATCCTGAGGACTAAATACGAAGTGGTAAATTTAGTTCTACTTAAGGTGAATTTAGTGGGATGATTGTTGGAATATTGGGGAAAATAGTGATTTTCATACAAGATTGAGTATTTTACGAGGAGTTGGCATAGCCATTCTTGGAGTGGGGACCAATGCCTCCACTTATAGCCTTTAACCAAGAGTTGGCCGTCCTCAGTCACATCGAGTTATAGTGTCGACCTTGATATATGCATCATCGTCCAAATTGACAAGTTTTAATTAGCTGCTGAGGTCGATTGGTCAGATCATCATTTTACCTAGGTTATAGTTGTTGTCTAAGCAATCATTACTTTCTTCTGATTAGTGGAGGTGGAGGTGCTGAAGATGATAAATTCCAAGATCTTTTGATAGTTGAATCACCTTACTTTCCAAAACTCCAAAATCTGCATTTCTTATTCTCCAATGGTCCCAATCTCGATCACAATGGAAGTGGATTATTATCCACAATCTAAGTGTCAATTTTTGTGAGATTTCATGTCCAAAATATGGTTCTAAGGACTTCCATACGAATTTTTTCTTCATTTTTCATATCATCTTTTTTCCCTCTTTTTCAAATGCACAATCATTGGAGGTTATAAAGAGTTAAGGGTGGTTTGGGAGTTGTATGTTTGAATTTCAAGTTCAAACTCCCTCCAACCTTTTTAATAACTTGATCTCACATGGGCGACCGACGACCCGTATTTTTCTAACATCTCCCACTTGCACATGATGGGCTTGATCCGAACCACAAGGGACAACGAATGTTGCGCATTAGATCTTTCTCAAGATCTATCTCACAAAAATTCATACGACAAATAAATCGTGTGACTAGCGAGTAGTATTAGAGCTCACAATACTATAAACATGTTAGGGATATATAGTAGCTCAATTAGAGGAACATTACATCTCGCTATACCCCAAAATCATTTTCCAACATTAATTCAAGTATTTCCGATCCCTCAAATATTTATGGAACATACTTGAACCCCACATCATATCATTGTATTCACAATTATATTTTATATCCTAAATGGTTAAACACAATTGTCTGCCCAATAAATACAAATATAAATGTTGGTCAAACTAGTTTTTCTGTCCTACTTGAATCTTTCAACTTTAAATCAACTACTTTCCTAGACATGTCCCATCAAACTAAATCAATCATAGTTATTGGCAACATACTAAACTAGCAACACCGAAATAAAATCTCAATAAATTGTCAAAGGTTATAAGGGTATATATATGAGGTTATATAAACCTCAAGATCTCACACAATGAGGAAGTAGGGATCAATTCACTCATTTACCCAATATTGGTCGTAAAAGTACACGTGGTATGAAACACACGCTGCGATGTTTTCTCTTATTCTTAGGGCATATGTCATATCCTTTATAAACAAATAACACCGTATAGATCCTAGTTCAGGTATTCCCTATACCTAACTTGAGTTCTCTTTATATTCATTCCTCTAGACAATCTCAAATCGATAACTCGATCTGGCAACTAAACAGGTTTAATGGATAACAAAATCCATTAATCTCATCTTAATATCTTATCAAGACGACTGGATCACATACACAATATGATCACTTTGTCTCATTTCAGCATACCCCAAAGTATTTGAGGCTATTGTTTATGTGAGTGAACCAATCTTAACCTGTTTGACAAACTTTATACGTGTATGCAAAATATTATCTCGTAATTTCAAGAATAGATTACACATGAACTCAAAATTGTTCATCTATGGGCACATAAAAATCAATCAAGAGTTTTCTGATACACTAAGTATCATATTCTACGTAATTTTAGAGATTCGACATTACCGACAAGTACATCTCTAAACATCTTTAGAGTATGATGATTACAAACCATCATTTACATAGAAATATTGTAAGGACACTTTCTTTGCTAATGTCACTCACAGAAACACTATCGAGTATTTGGGTCCATCATGATATTTGAGATCTTTAACACATGAGATAATTGCATAACTATCATGAATCTCATATTCACAACTAATATTATTAGATGCCCAATACATCTATACCAAACAATTTCTCCAGATGTCAAGTTATATACTACAAGATATGTTTCTTGCTACTCTATGTAGTAAGATTGCACAAATCTAATAACTATGTGTGCTCGACTAACTCTCATCCCTAGTCGATATTTGCATATCTATTCCAATCACAAATTATTCCCTCAACACCAAAATAGAATAACTGACAGTAACATGTTTCAAGTATCAAAATATCATTTCTAAGGACAACACTGATACTTACTGAATAGATCCATAGCATGACAAATAATAAGGCAAGTATACATTATAACATACTTCTAACTCCTAATCGCACTATATAAGGTTCTCTGGATATTTCTTTATACACTTATGAGTCCTAGACATACATGAAGACTCATATGGTCACCTTTCGACATAGAAGTATCAACATGGTAGCAATTCCACAGTTAAAAAATATTCTAGAATCTTTATAGTATATAACTCTTGTAATAGATAGAAGACTAGAATAATCTTTTTAACACGAAATATACAATTTGTTAAACCCATGTCCTTTGTCTCAAAAATTAAGGACAACCATTTCAAAATGGTCTTAATACACTCCTTCTCATACTTAGTCAATATAGTGTCATCAACATTAAAATTAGAATTACAACCTACATTCAGACTTTTATATAAATATAGGAAACTTCATCCATACGATAAAATTATGTACGAGATTAAACTCAAGTACCAATGTTAAGATGACTGTATTAAGCTACAAGTGTAACTAAGAAGTTACCACAATACTAAAAAAAGCCTTCAACGTGAAACCTACAAATCGATTCATGTAGATCTCTTCAATCAATTCTCAATTAAGAATGAAAATATAGTCTCAAAGTTTATTTGGTGTAATCTAAACTTAGACACACTATCATGGCTAATATCAGCATATAGAAGTGAATCTCGCTGCTAGGAAACAAGGTTTATCAAACNAATACATCTATACCAAACAATTTCTCCAGATGTCAAGTTATATACTACAAGATATGTTTCTTGCTACTCTATGTAGTAAGATTGCACAAATCTAATAACTATGTGTGCTCGACTAACTCTCATCCTTAGTCGATATTTGCATATCTATTCCAATCACAAATTATTCCCTCAACACCAAAATAGAATAACTGACAGTAACATGTTTCAAGTATCAAAATATCATTTCTAAGGACAACACTGATACTTACTGAATAGATCCATAGCATGACAAATAATAAGGCAAGTATACATTATAACATACTTCTAACTCCTAATCGCACTATATAAGGTTCTCTGGATATTTCTTTATACACTTATGAGTCCTAGACATACATGAAGACTCATATGGTCACCTTTCGACATAGAAGTATCAACATGGTAGCAATTCCACAGTTAAAAAATATTCTAGAATCTTTATAGTATATAACTCTTGTAATAGATAGAAGACTAGAATAATCTTTTTAACACGAAATATACAATTTGTTAAACCCATGTCCTTTGTCTCAAAAATTAAGGACAACCATTTCAAAATGGTCTTAATACACTCCTTCTCATACTTAGCCAATATAGTGTCATCAACATTAAAATTAGAATTACAACCTACATTCAGACTTTTATATAAATATAGTAAACTTCATCCATACGATAAAATAATGTACGAGATTAAACTCAAGTACCAATGTTAAGATGACTGTATTAAGCTACAAGTGTAACTAAGAAGTTACCACAATACTAAAAAAAACCTTCAACGTGAAACCTACAAATCGATTCATGTAGATCTCTTCAATCAATTCTCAATTAAGAATGAAAATATAGTCTCAAAGTTTATTTGGTGTAATCTAAACTTAGACACACTATCATGGCTAATATCAGCATATAGAAGTGAATCTCGCTGCTAGGAAACAAGGTTTATCAAACTCAATATACTCATATTGAGTATAACATTTCTCTTAAAAAATGAGCTTTATCTATCATAAACTCATTAGTCTTCCATTTAGTTTTTAAGAACCTGAATGTTCTCAATAAACATAATGTCCAATTAAAACTTCCACCAAATCTCAAATTAGATTGGAATTATGTA